TCAATAAGTAGGTGATCTAAACTGCACTTAAAGGATTTTTCTGGGAAATCACGTTTCAACTTCAAACAGTTTTTCTGGTCTAATGTCTTTTTTAAAGTTTCTTCCATTAAAACAACCTTTATATTCGATTGCAAAGAACCTCCATTAAATTTAAGATCTTCATAGATATTTTATCTTATTTATGTATTTTGTTTCATTAATCTTTTTGCAGACTTTCCAAATAATTCACTGGCAGAAACGTGTGTAAGCCCAGAATTAGGCAAAGCCTGTCCTTAAGTACTATATATATCTTATTGTCTTACCTTGCGACCACCCATGCACTTTGACCCTGATAACTTATGGCTGAACTGCCTGAACCTCTCCCCAGGTGGCGCCACACTAAGTCAACACGTGGCCCTTGGCAAAGTGCCTACACCCGCACCTTTATCGCCCCTTATAGAGCCCACTACCCCTCACAAAAATAGGGGGCGAAACACTCTGGTGCCCATCTGGACCTTGGAAGAGGTACCTAGAATTTTGTAAGACTGTGCAATAAAAATGCAACGTTTATAGCTGGTCGCTGTCGTTGCCTCGCTGTGGTTTCCTCGCTACCACGTCCACTTCTCCATCCACTTTCACTTCCACTCTGCTCCATTTGCCACTTTCGGGAGAAGCTGTTACATACTAACACCCTATAGTGCCACAGTGGGTTAAGATAATCCTTTATAAATAGTTGGGAAAACACAGCTAACATGGCTAGCATATATAAATGTAGGTATTTTTTAAAGTATATTAAAAGTATTAATTTAAAAATATTACCAAAAAACGATTAAAAATATTTCTATACAATTATTCGAGCGCATTTTTATATTTTCCGCATATTAATAGTAGTGGGCTTAAAACCTTTAAAACGTGTATAAATTATATCATTTAGAGCTTAAGCCCTAATATATTTTGACATATGAAGGAGAAAACGACAGAATCCGAGTTTTAATTTAAGTTAAACACACAAAAATTCTACGACAAAGGAATAGTTTATATACTCTTTGTTACAAAAGATATATTTACCAGGTATATGGGACCTATAGGTACATTTATCCTTATGCAAGGCATTACTATTTAATGATTTTTCATATTTTTTTTTTCAGTAATCTATTTATCCTCAACGAATATATTTTTTCTATATCGGCCCACTGTATGTCCGTCCAGTCATGACCTTTGCGAGTGGCCATTAACGCTTTTTTATCTGTTCATAAATTTTAATTTTGGCAAAATACTCCAAGTACGTGGCCCAGCCACACCCCTCGCCACATTTAGAACCCCACCTCGACTTGGAACGAAGGCACCATAATTCTTATTCTTTTTGCTTTCCCGAGTCTGGGACTTTCCTTCGTGTTTGCTTGGCGTTTTCATTTTGGCCAAGAGAAATATGACTTGGTGGCTGCAGATTTCCTTCAGCCTTTTTCCGCCGAGCGCCGTGTCTTCGCGTTTGAGTCGAGGACCCGTAACCTTATTTCGCCAGCGGAGCATCCTCGTCGCTGGCGGACTTGTTTATCGTCCTTTGCATCTCATTGAGCTGGTTGCCGCTTTTGAACGCCCCCACCACCCAAAACGCTTTTCCGGAATCTCGGGGGTTTACAGGGGCCAAAAGCCCGGGGTTTGTGTCTTGCCTGAACGGTCTTGGGTTTTCCTTTTTCCATTTTCCCTCGCCCAGCACTTTTCGTTTTTCCATTGCATATTTAACCTAATTAAAATGAGTTATATGAGACAGGTGGGGAGAGCGTGTTAATCCTTGACCTGCTGACTTTGCCGGAGCTCAATTTCCCCGCTGCCCAAGTGGCGCCTTCAACTGAAGATGTTATGCTATCATATTCTGAGGTTTATTTTTAACTTAAATATTGTTTGGAGTGTTTTATGTAATCACCGTTTAGATGCTCACCTTAAAGCTTTTTAAAAAACATCAGCAAAAATATTAAATAGATTTATCGCCTTGAAGTTTAACGACTGTTAACATGGTAATAAGGGATAATTAATTAAGGTATTTTTTTGGTTTTATTGCGATAATATTTTTTGCAATGCATAAATCAACCTCCTTAATGTATGCGACGTCACAAAAGTACAATGAAAACATTTATTATTTATTTTCATTTATAGACATAATTGCTTTTTAAAAAGCTCATTTAGGTTAAAAAGTTAAGCCAGCATTAAATATACATATAATGTTGTATACACTGTTGGAAATTGTGTTATTATGTTGTTATACTAAACTGATATATATAAGTCAAAACATTTAGTTTTTAATTAAAATGAAATTGCTTTTGTTTTAAGTTTAAACAAAGTCAATGCCTAAAAAACCGATAAGCCACTTAAGGCCTGTGACAGTACCCAAACTGACCTTTGTCCCGCTTCTTATCATTGCAGGTATGTTAATGGAGCCAAGTCTCAACAAGTGGATCCTCCAGTCCGACAACCAGCAAACAATGACCAGGAGCAAACTAACCTAATGAATTTATGTACGAGGTGCAAGGTGCAAAACGCACAAGGCCAGGCAAAGGCTCTAACTGAAAGTACTTAAGCCCATAAAATATTCAAGCCATGAGCATGTGGGGAAAATTACAGAGAGGGTCCGGAAAATACGCACAAAAATACAGAGGACAGACAGGGAAAACAGGGCGGTGGAAATTAGATGGATATATAGGCGGAATCTCGACAGAAGGCGAAATCCGAAACAGGCATTACACATGAAAGTACACCAAAAAAGATTTACTGACCTGCCTTTAAAATGTATTAATTTTAAATACATTTACATTTTTATTATTTTGGAAGTTACAAATGGCTTACAAATATAATAAATGTAAAGATTGAAAACTTTATTTAAAATACTTAAAGAATTGAACCATTTCTAAAAAATGGTAGTTAAATTCTTTCATCGACATAGTTATTATACCTAATTACTTAAGAAAAATGAGCATATATATGATGTATCTAATATTTTTCTTACTGTGCATGCCCTTAAGCTTATCCAGTGCTCGGTGAAAGTCGCTGTCGAACAATTTGCCATTGTAAGTGTAGGAGAATGAAAGGATATGGGGACCCAGCCTCACCCTTGCCCCTGGGGATAGGCAGCCAGCCACTGATTGAAAAGAAAATTACGGGCGAGTAGTTGGCCGGGTGGTCGCCAGATGGTCTCCACGTCGATAGCACTGCTGATGAGCAGAATAGTTGTCCTGCGGGGGAAAGGGGAGCGGAAACGGAAGCGAGTGGCGCCGCCACTGGGACCACGGGCCTTGAATTCCGGAAGTGGTAAGAGCCAGGGGCACAAGACTCCCAGCCATTTGCATTTAGGAGTATATATGTAGACGTCTATGCCTCTAGACGGCATCCGCTGATGGCAACTGTTTCTTTCTGCTCCGCAGAGCAGGTTTCTTTTTCCACTTTTACTGTGGAGTTTAAAAAGGCCTTTGAAGATCTAAATGGTAAAATGGACATCTGCTCTGTTTTGCCTTATAAATACATAATTTATTTAATTTCTGTTTTTGCTTAAGTTGAAGAAGATGGGGATATAAAAAAAAGTTAATGAACAAGGCTTCCTGGGAAATTCTAAAACGCTAATGAAGATAATAAACTGAAAGCTTTCTTAATTAATGAATTATTACATAAATCTGCAGGGTTTCTACAGAAACTCAAAATTAAATAGTTCATAATTAAGGCAGCCTCTGGCTCATTACTTTAATAAATTATGATTGATATGAATTATGTGATATAAAATAAGATTTGACTTTAAAAATTTGCCAGTTTTTTAAATAACTGCAGATTGTAAAGTGAAGTATACTTTTAATCATGCATTCTCTTTTCTTATTTATATTAATAAAATTTTTTCGTTGATTTGAAATTCAGTTGAGTGTGCGATTTATCCCACTGTGCCGACACTGGGGCTCGCTGAGGGCTTAAATGGCGAGGAGGTTGCGCGCTTCAGATAGCACGTTGTGGATATTAAGCATGTCCTTAAGCATAAAATGTCAATAAGTGCACCCAATCGATGCTAAGCAGTTTACATTGCGACAAGGCACTGGGGCACCGTCTCTTATCGAGTCCTTTCCCTCCGAGATCCCCGATTTCCATCAGGAACTGCGCTAACAATGCAAAGGACACGGAAAAGCACAATCACTCTCACACACATTCGAGCTTATCTTTATGCATGCGTCTCATATTTTCCGATAAACGTATTTGGATAAGCAAATTTCCGCCTCCACTACACAGTGAAAAAAATAGTCATACATTCGAAATTGTATAATGTAAATAACAATTTGTAACAAAACGAAAAGAAAATCCAACATTAAAAGCTGGAGGACAATATCGGGTTATAAGAAAAAATATTTAAGAATATTTAAATTCAATATTCGAACTAGAATAGTTCGCACCCTTAACTTTTTACGGTGTACGTATTTTTGACTTTGCTCTTTATTGACTTGCATGTTTATATCAATATTTTTGCAAAATTTTGCATCTGTGCCAAGGCGTTGTAGAATATGCATGAGATTTTTCGATACGTAAAGTTTCCATCTACCTTGTTAAAAATTGATGGCACAAAGCTTATGTGAATAGACATATTTTCTTTAAACAAAAATGGATTGGGCAGATGACTTAAAATGGATTTTAAAGTTACATACTTTATGGAAGAAAAATGGAATATAATGGATTTGTCAAAACTTTTTGTAGCACAAAACTCAGATATATTTATGGTATAGTATACTAACTTTTTACCTTGAGAACATCTGGCTTTCGTACTTTAACAAACTCTTTTAGAAGGTATTCCCCAAAATGACTTTAAAGAGAACGTGTTTGGTAATCGACTCGGTCTTATCCGCGTGTCAATTATTCAGAACATTTCTAATTTCATTGCGAAATAAGGTTTTTCTTATCAGCGTGTTTTTGGTATCTACAAGTAGACCGCGACACAAAATGTCAAGATAGTTTTCCCTACTTAAGTACAGCAATAGATTGAGAAACAAGTTCAGTACGTTGAGTTCCGGAAGAGTTGGCGGTCTGACAAATAATGAGAGGTACTAAAGGCAAGGCAAAGTGAAGAGTGCTCTGAGACTAAAAAAAGCTCACCGTAGTTCCGCTATGGGCCTTCCACTTGGCTATTTTTTTGGCCTTTCTGGCTGAAATTAGAGGATATTCGATGGAAATGAAATGCATACTTTGGGCTGGAAACGGATATATTGGAGATCCCAGTGATTGCCAGGCGTGGGGATTTTGCCAGGACAACAAACTCATTGATCGAAATGCCTGCAACGAGGGATTACTGTACAATTTCCGAAAAGGAACCTGCGATAAAGCGGCGGATGTGATGTGTCATTCCAATCTAGCGGAGATTTGCACCAATCTTCAGTTGGGGGATTATGCCGCCGATCCTGCTAATTGTCGGAGATTCGTCAAGTGCGATGCCATCGATGATCCCATATGGGGCGACTGTGGTGAGGATCAGGTGTTTAATAACAAACTGCAAAGATGTGTGCAGGAAACTTCCGGTTGTCCACAGGATAATATTTGCTCCTTTATAAAAGATGGTTCTTTTGTGGGGGATCCCAACAGCTGCCAGAGTTATTTTAAATGCCACAATGGATTTGCAATAGAAATTAATTGCTCCACTGGTCGATACTTTAACAGGAAATCAGGTAATTGCCAATCCTGGCTGCCGGAATACTGCTCGAAGGACGATGAGATTGCTCCAGAAACACCCCTCTCCACAAGTTTTCACATATGCTCCAAGTACTATCAGAAGGATCTGTCCGGAGTGCAACTCCTTCCAGATTTAAAGACCTGTTACGGATATTACGCCTGCACTTCCGAATTGGACTTGGGAAGATGGAGCAGTTGTCCCTGGGGACAGCACTTTGAGTGGTGGAGCCAGCGGTGTGGTGAGCCGAAGGATAATAGCTGCTCCTACGATCGCTGTGGAAATATGAACCAACTAATGGTGACCACCATAAACACCGGTTGTAGGGAGTACACGGTCTGCCAGGATAATCGCTCGAGAAGATCGGAAAAGTGCCCTGATGACTTTCCCTATTTTAATGAGATTTCGCAGCGTTGCACAGATAAATTTCCCAACCACAGGGTGTGCTACATGGATGGATAAAAGATTTTGACTTTGTGAAGAAGGGATTTCTTGGTTTTGTGTTCTCTGCAATGTAAATAATTATATTTTTAATAATGTATGTATATATTTTGGTTCAGTGTTACAAAATATAATCCATTTATTTTCCCTGACTTTAAAAATAAATTTTAAAGGTATATGTGCCCTCATAATGGATTGTTTATGCTTCATTTATCTGCGGAAAAAAGAAATATGTATGCCCCAAGGGTATATTTTTTTTAAACCATCAGATACTTTCAGAAAAAAAGAACAGGTTTCATATAAAACAACAGAGAATAAGGAAGTCTGGAAAAACAACATTTAACAATTTGAGGAAAAATAATTTAATGAACATAAAAGAATTTTCAGTCATCTCCAGAATTTATCTTTTGCTTCTGCCACCAGTCAATTTGCCTTTAAGTTAACCTTTTGAATACAAGAAATTATAGAAAAAGCTTTGGGCAAACTTGAGAAAATATTTTTTATATCCTTCAAATTAGTATTTAAAATATGTTGATTCATGTCACAAGTGATTGATCAGTTGACTAATGATAACTAATTATGGTAAGTGGCGCTTCAGCTTTTCCATTCAGTCGAGCACAAGTGAGGAATCAAGTTAAACAAGAGACATCTTTCAGTTGGAGTCTCCCTGCCAGAAAATCAAATGAATCAACGAAAAATTCAAATATTCCCCAGAGGGCTGTATTTATGAAAGCCCGCTGGGCGAGTGGGTGGCGCAGTAAACGCCCTTGAATGGGGTGGCCGTGGGTGGGTTGTGGGTGGCGCGCATATTTCGCTGGCAATGGCTGCAGGCAGCCCAATGACGAGGCACAACAATGAGTCGCGTCATTGAATTATTATGATTGACTTTTATTACACGGAATCGCAATTTATTTTACTTAACAACAGGCTGGGATCGCAGCCCGGAGTGCGGTTAAAAGTAGCGAAAATTTGAATGAAAAGTTGTAAAGAAATTACGTTATTTATCATTTGCAGAGTGGCGACCCAGCGAAAGGGACACATTCACAGGGAAAGAGAGAGACGGGGAGAGAAAGCCCGACATCTCCCAAACCGTTTCCGTATCCGCTCATTTATTTACCACACTGTCAAGCGCACCCACAGATACACAGAGAGAAATATTTAACATTATAAATTATATAATTTATTTAGCTTTTGCTGTTTTACGATTTCTTTAAGGTAACTTATCTAGTTCTTTGAATGTAGTTTGCCGACTTTAGATATTTAATAATGAATATATTTAATATATATGATAACCAATTTTACATTAATAAGACTTACATATGGGGTTGTAGTAGTAGCTACGAAGTTTATGTATCGCATTATCCTACTTAAAATTTTTTTTTTTTTATTTAAAATTTTATTATTTTTAAAATTGTATTAGATATATATTTTTTTTTAACACTTAAGTTATTTGGATACTTTTATTAAATTAATTAAATAGATATTAAATAGATATATTTACTCAAAGTTTTTCTCTGTGCATTCCCACCCGAATATTGATGCTTTTCCCGTCGCAGTTTGTGCACAGTTAAAAAGTTTTCGGCGGCGGCAGCAGAAATTCAAATTTATTGTTTGCGGTTGCCGGGCTTCCCGGCCACGCCCACCTTTAGTCGATGGGCTTAAAATTAGTGGCGTTGTCTTGCGAATCGATGGGCGTTTGATTAACGGTCTCCCCCCGAGATTGAATCGCTTAATTGCCTTAAAAGTAGGCGTGGCTGTGGCCGGAGCAGGGGCGTGGGGCTAGGGGATTTAATGGCAGGATAAAAGTCGTGACTATCCAATTACACACGATGTAGCAGGCTCAGGGAGGTAAGCCGTTTTGGTTCCGCCATCACTTACCTTTAATTAGCTAATTCCCTTTAAGGTCTTCGCCCTCAATTGTGGTTCGGGGATTACCCGATGGCACACTCCGGGGATTAGAGTTTAGTAATTGCTGTAGAGGACTTTTCGGCTTTGTGCCCAACTGGAGGCCATCGGGTAAATGGCAAAAGAAAGTTGCCGAAGCCGCGAAAACTTTCTCTGCAGAGAGCATAGAAAAAAATGGGAAAATTTTGCTGAAAGAGGCTGAGAAATGTAATGACGGTATTTATGTTATCTGCCATCTAACTCCGCACTTACATTATTCTGCTTATCTCGGAAATTAATTTCAATAAGAGTAAACTTTTGATGGGGTACTAAAAGCTATATCAGAGGTTTAGATCGTGTGGACTTTACTTATTCAGGAAGAGGTTTTTTCAAGTTTTTTCTTGGCTGAAAATAATATAGGATTTTTTTGATAAATCTGATTGATAAATGCGCTTTAATCGCTCCTCTTTAATATTCGCTAATTTGTAAAATGTAAATTAGGTTTACATTCAGGTATGAAAAAAAGTAATCCAACTTTACTAAGTCAGCATTACTAACTATACTATATCATAACCTTTGATATAACAAAAAACATTTTTGATTTTATTATTCTATTCTAATAAAATTTCAAAAGTTCTGAAATTAAGTTAAGTAAAACTTTACTGATCTCTATATAATCCAACAACAGCGGTCATTTAAATTAATTTTATTTCACTACCTTCCCTCTTTTCATTGCATGATTAAACCTCATTTAAATTTCAACGTTTCCCGCCAACCTGTCAGTGGTGAAACAATTTTCCAAGAATTTTCTTTGTCTTACCCTTGCATTCATGCGCATTTTCCCATTCAAAAATAATTCATATTCATTTAAGGGGGAAATTACGGCGCAAAGGACCCCCACCGATGTGGTGGGGTTAAGCAGTGCAATTCAATGAGGACCGGCTTCAACCGCAGGCCGCGACATTCCAGTGTCAAGCGTTTTCTTCCGGTGGCAGTGAAAACCGCTCACAAAGCCGAGAACCCCAAGTTACCCTGGGTTTATTCAATGCAGTCAGGGCCAATGCCATTGCCATTCCAGTGGATCCTTTGCTTTTCGCTGGAGGCAAAAGGCTATGCTTTTGTTTTTCCAACTGGTTGACTCGGGCCACCTTCTTGGGAACTGGTTTCCAATGAAAGCTTTCCTCGTCCTCAGCCACCATTTTCCATCTTACCGCCGGGTTGTTTGTATGCGTCGTCTGCTGTGGTTTACGTCCTCGTTGTTGACATTTAGTTGACACACACAACACGGATCCCCTGCCTCCTCGTCCTCGTCCTCTTCCGCGTCCTCGTCCTGTTCGTCCTCGTCGTGGACTTCCGGCAACAGGCCCTGGCAATGGATCATCGGCGTCTTTGTTTACACATCGCCACCGAAGTTTGCAGCTGCCTCTGCGGCAGTCCTCCTGATTGTTCATCGTCAGCTGGTGCGCTTTATTGTTGCTAACTAGAAAAGCCAGAGCGTCCATTCTGCTTTGCAGAATGTCCTTCGCCGCACAGTGGGTGTGAATGGAGATTTTTGTATCAAAAACCTACAAAATTAAAAGTTTGAAATATTGTATGATATACTCAAACATAATATATTTTGCAAATTTAGTTTAGATGGCAACTTTCTTTATATTGTAGAAAAAAGGTCTTTATGTTAAGAATTAAAATTTAATTGAAACAATTTTCAATATTATTTTATAATTTTTTAATTTTTTAGCGAACTAAAACTCCTATAATTTTTAGGGTTTTTTTTAGATTGATTTTCCTTTTAATTAAAAAGGTTTTTTGATTGATTTTTCTTTTAATATTGAGTTTGGTTAAATAGATCGTTTGATTTTATTATAAAATCTAGCACCAAAAAAACTAAGTTCAGCCCACTGTGCACCAGTGGTGTAAACAATTTTTGAAAGGTTATTTCGTCTGAAACAGTCGCGGTCCGCACTTTGTTCCGTTTTGCACTTCATTTACCACCAGGCCACCCAACCTAAAAGTCCTCCTCCTAGTCGTCCTTCTAGTGCAGGCATCCAAGGCGTCCATTCGTCCAAGTCGTCCTCCTCGGGGCAGTAAATTCTGTTTACCCACTTCGTTGTCGTTGTCTTTGCAGTAGATGCATCGCAGGGACAGCTATTTGTTATGTCGTTTGACTGAAGCTGCTGACATTTATCCAGAAACTGCAGTAAACAGAATGAATATGCAGAGGATGTTGCTGCAGATATTAAATCGCCCCCTGGCAATAAGTAACTGCAAAGAATTTTCTTTGCACGCTTGGATAGCCTTGAATATGTACAAAAACGGATGTTCAAATGGTTTTTCTTGAAACTCCATTCATTATCAAAAATATGTCCACTGCCTGCCAGAGTTATATTTCCTTATTTTCTTTAATGACCGCAATCTGTGCATGTATTTTTAATATGCCGCTGGGTTTTCGTTCCAAAAGGATTTACGTTTGAAATCTAGAAGTTAAAGAAAACTAATGAAATTGCCGAGAAAAGTTTTAAAAATGCTTCGTTTAAGGAAAATGCCTATCTAGTAAAGACAATTTGACTATCCAAGTGAAATAGCTTGATAAACGGGTATATAATAGTAGAGGCTATAATTGACTAAAGCCTTCTCGATTGTTTCCATTTTAAAATTCCTGTTTATCCAATTGCAAAATAGATTGTCACCCAATATTTTATTCAACTGGGTGTATAAAATGATTTCAATACAATCCCGTTTCTCTCTGAACAAACTTATTTGCGTCTTCCTCCGGGTGTGGGTCTAAATGGTTTCCGACGGGATTTTGAATCGACGATGAGCACTGATTGTCGCTTTAGGAAGTTGCGGGAAGGCACTTCATTATCATCATCGGCGGTGGCCACTGTCGGTCAAAAGTTTTTGAAATGTCTTAAGGCCTTATTTAAAATCAAATAGAAATTTACCCGCTGCTGGGGCCTGTTCTGGAGAGGATGAGGAGGTGCCGGCAGCCCTTTGAGCTCGTCCTGCGAACAGGTTGTAGTAGCAAACGGGCATGGGTTGTGGCTTCTCGCCCTCGGGAGCGGATGGGGACTTGGGCTGCTCCGCCCTGTACATCTCCTCCTCCTCCTCGTCAACGATGTCCAACTTCGGGATCTCAAACGGTGGCACATCCTCGGATTTGCTCAACTCTTGGCAGCGCTTAATCTTTAGTTTTAGGATCTAATTAGGGGTTAAATGCATGTTATCTATGAAAACAATAACCTTATATATACCCACCTCAATCATATCCTCATCCTCGGCAGTATGGGCCAGAAAATTGGGTAGTTCTGCTACGCTAACATGAAGCTTCCTTTCGGGTATCTCTATGTTGCTCTCGTCCACCTCCTGCACCTTGAAAATCATCTCGCAGATGCGCTCCTTGAGATACTTTAATACCCCCATAGATTTGCCCGCCTCGTCAGTGTCCAGTTTGCGATCCTGCTCCTTGGCGGCTATGCTGTTCTTGATTTGCTCAATGACCTCTTGGTTTCTGTGAACAAATTAAATTTTCTAAATAAATAAATCGCTTATTGTAGAAAATCTTTAAAACTTTCTTACGATGATATGAAAAAATACCTTATATGGTTAATATACATAAATCACTCACACTTCACTCTCCTTGACATCCGAAAATTTGGATGCCTCCAGTTCGCTGGATAAAGCTTCCCGTTCCGCCTCCAGATTGGCCTTTTCCGCCTCGGCCGCCTTTCGAAGGTAATTCAAACGGGCTGCGGACTCCTTCTGGGCGCTGAATCTCTCGAAGACCTCGAAGGGCGAGGTGGCCCCGGAGGCCTCCATGAGCTGCTTGAACAGGGATTCCATATCGCTGGTAACGCTCTCCAGTTGGGACACCGGCTCCTCCTCGCCGTTCTCCGTCTTGGCAGTGTGCTGATCGCCCGAGCTAGAACCCACGCTATCCTGATGGACCAGTGTCTTGGTTTCGGCAAAGAGCTTCCGCCCAATCCGCTCCAGCTCCAGCTTACGGGCCTCCACCTGTTTGCGAAAGTCGAGGGCCTGTCGCTCCCGCGTTTTCTGAGAGAGATTGGCCTGCTGCTCCTGACGCTGTAGGATAACCTTGGCCGCATCCCTCATCTCGACCGCCTCGTTGTGAACCTGCTGCAGTCGCTCGATCTCCGCCTTCTGGTCACTCAGGGAAGCCTCCAGTTCTCGCAGACTCTGCTCAAAACGCTCCGCATCCGTCATTAAAGATGCCTCAATGGAGCGGTACTTCTTGCGGATGTGCTCCGCCTCCATCCACTGCACATTGGTGCGGTGGATCTCGTTTTCCAGCTGGCATACGAGCTGTTAAAGTCGGAAGAAAAATGTTGAATAAATAAAATGTAGATATTAATTAAAGAAATTAAAATAAATATAATTTGAAATGTATAGTTTCATTTTAAAATGGATATTTTATATCCTTTTTAGAATGATCATGAATATTTGTAATGTATTTTTATCAGAAAAAGGTTGGAAAATAAGACATTGTATTGAAAATATTTTCTTAAATTTGTTTAATTTTAAATATAGTATTTTAAGTATTTTATTCAAGGAGCAGCTTTCTCACCTTTCTGTTGGCATCCTCCTCCAGAGTTTCTGGGGGTTTTTCGCCCAAATTCTGGTTCTGAGCCTCCTTGTTGGCCAGCAGACCCCGGTATTTCTCCACAAGTTTACTGAAGTGCTGTTGGCGGGATTTGAAACGATGTCGCAGCAAATCCATCTGCTTGCGGCTCTCGGTAATTTTGAGATCAGTTAAGAATATTGCATCATCGGCATTTTTGGCTCCCACAGGATATGTGGCCTTGCCCACAATTAAAGTGGGTGTGCAGCTCTGCGCCCTCCGGGTTTCCCCAGTGGGTTCCTTTATGACCACCGGTCGCTGGAGGGGATTTCGCAGACGACTCGCCTTGACTGTCAGCTCCTTGATGTCCTTTTTCAAGGAGCCAATTGTGTCACAGTTGATGCGGTTCTGCTTCTGCCATTCGGCCGCATTAGCCGTCTTTTGGCCCTCTAAAAGGATTTGTTTTAATGTTACTACCTGAATGGTTTAAAGGCTTTGCTACTTACCTGCCAATAAAATGCGCTTTTTAATCTCATTTATTTGTCGGTTCAATTCGTTTAACTTGTCCGATTCCATGACTTCATCTGTTCGGCTTACCTTTTCAAATAAGTTTCACAAACTATGCTGTTTGTTAAATCGATACTAAAATTGTTGTGGCAACGTGAAAGTTAACAATGAACTGTAATGGTTGCTAACAACTTTATACCCTCTGTATAAAAATTTAATCAGGTTTCACAAATCAAAAATAATAATTATTAATGAAACCCTAAAATCTTTCGTTAATCATCAGAATTAAAAAAATCGTTGTCCCGTTATTTTGCTATAATATTTAATATTTGAACCACTTTTTGTACAAAATATATTTAAAGATTCCACAATAATTTATCATCAGCTTGAAACACGCCCTCGAACGCAAGAAACACCAAGGAATTCAACAAAAATGCTGAAAAATGAATACTTTCAAATTAACACCTCTATTCGAAGCGGGATTGGATGGCGCTATTCCGGACCCGGGCAACGAATTCGGCGGCGTGGCTTGGTTCTCGGAAGGAGCAGGCGATCCTCTCCAGGATGCCCTCCCGACTGGAGGCGTAGTTAATGTTGGTCCAGCGGCAGCTGTAGGAACTGTTGGTCATGTAGTCGATGCGCCACCTTTCGTCCACCCGCATATGGATAATCAGTTCTCCGGTGACCTTGTCGTGGAGTATTATATAATACGATCCCTGGTGCTCCAGGATTTCGATTTGACCCTCGCCTGAGAAGGAGGGGGAACGGTAAGGACTCTCATGGGAATCTGGTAATTTACCTTGCCGTTTCCACTCCCTCAACTTGTTGAAACAGAAAAGCCTCACAGGCTGGCTGAACAATACCCTTCCATTGTTAAGAATGTCCTTCAGATCGGCCAAGGATCTTGGTAACCCATGTGCTCCTCGAGAGGATTGCTTGATACACAACTTATTCTGGATTTCCGAGTCATCGCTTTCGGAAACCTCACTAAAAACGGAATCCTTGCTCACATTCAAGCCATTACAAGTCAATCCTTCACTAGCATCTAGTCGTTGGTATGGTATAGGAAGTGGTTCTTTATATATGCTGGGACCTTCAATCATGGGCTCTCCACAACCCAGCGAACTCTCTCTAATTTCTTTCTTGCTGCTTTCTACCTCCGAAGTGAGTTGAAAAATGTTCTGCCTAAATACCCTAGAAAAGTTTAATGAGCTCCTCACCCTTTGAAATCGGTTCAATCTGCTCTGATGAGAGTTATCTGAAAATAAAGATATTATAGTATTATGTGATGACGTTAACAAAAGTTACTTACCATGATAAGATGCCTCTAAGTTTTTTAGCATAGTCAAGCTTAAGATTAGTGCCTTTAGAGATCTGGATGCCTGTTGTTGAATAATCTCCTTGGATCGTATTTCTTGCACATTCGTTCTTTTCACTACTCTATCACCAAAAGAAAGCCTTACACTGGGTTGCAAAGTTAACTTGTTTCCTATCAAGGAACTAATAATACCCATTTTAGGCTTGGCTTTTTCAACTAATGGAGCAAATAGTTCATTGATCTGTAGAGTTTTTGGGGCAAATCCGCCCACTGATTTTGGTTTAAGGTCCGCGGAACACATTAGTTTTTCAAACTTTTGAGGATTCGATTCTTCACTTTTGGGCTCATCTTTTTCTTCGATTCCTTTCAGAATACCTTCTTCGGTTCTAGGGGAATTTATTTCTTTAATTTTTGCTAAATTTATATCTTCCAATATTGTGACATTTGGTGCTTCGATCCTGGGCAAAGTTGCATCTTTGTTCCCTGGTATAATTGCTTCTTTGATAGGTGGAATCTCCAAAATCTTAACCTCTGGAGTATTTGGACTCTCAATCTCAGGTGGAGTTACTTCTACAACTTCGTTACCTTTAACTTCCGCACAAGCCATTTCCAATTCTGGAATAAAGTATGGCTCTTGGCTCTCATTAGAGCACTCCGACTTGGATGACAAAGATGGTTCATATTTTCCAAATAAGGAAAGATCCCCTAGTCCAGACTGAAAGTCCAAAAGGTCTTTTACCTCACTCTGCTTACGCAATTGATCGATGATATTAAAAGGTGACAGAAGGGTATCAAGAGGAAGGCTAGGCAGGCTGCAGTCCACTTTAAAGGACTCTTCCAAGGAAGTTGCAAAGGAAGTTTCTACGTCTAATTGATTGATAAACTTCGAGGCCTGGGGTTCTGGCGAACTAGAACTTCCTTTGGATGGCTGTGAGTGCAGAAGGGGGCACTGGACTTTGAGGTCCGTTTCCATTTTGTCAATTGCACTGACCTCACTTTGCATTTCTGCATTCGATCCATCCTCTTGGCTGTCCAACATTTTCTAAGCTGAATATCTACCGAATGAAAATAAAATAAATAAAAATTTACTGAGATTTTAAATACAAATGACTTACAGCTTATTGAGTGTTAGTTCAATGTGGAGCTAATTCTGTGAGGTATTTGATCTTTACAGAGTTGCTAAGTTTTTTTTCGTATTATTAAAAGTGAAAAGATTTTTTGATAAATATTTTTGAATGCCATTGAATATTTTGATAGTCTCTGAAAAATATTTTCAATCAATATATTAAATATTATATATATTTAAAGTTATAAAGCAATTTTTTTGATAAGCTGGAGATGATAGCTTATCATAATTTGTATTTTTATAAGTAACAAATCATATTTTATGATTCACAACCTTTCTTTTATAATAATAAAATGCTATCTATACGCATTACATTCAAAAAATAAGGTGTGTTTCCATCATTCTTCTCCGTATTTTACGGATACTTTTTTATTGCTAGTGTGCACTTTCATTGGTATCACTGGCAGGCTAGTTTTGTGTTTTGTGCAGTTGGACATAACTAGATACAACTGAGTTGGGGAACAACTTCCGACCATTGTTGTCCACTCGCATAGGCCAGTCGGCCCCTGTGTCTAATTACAATTTGCTTTTTGCCCAACGGAGCGTATGCGTAATCATAGAGACGGGAAAAGGAAGCTGGCATGTAGGGCAGTTTTCCGTGGAGTGGGAATCAAATTACATTGACAACAACTTTCCGCTGGCTTTTCAATGGAAACAAAAGCACCTGAAGGCCGAAACAAAACATCGCCCAGTTTCGTCATTATTTTCTTGGTGAAATGAGGATTCTGAATGCCCTGAATTTAGATGAGAGCCCCCGGCTAAACAAATGCGCGAGGGACCAGTCAAAAGCAAATAGCGCTGGAAAAATATTTGAATCTGAAATATGCATAAAATGCGGGAAAACGAATTCAAAGCTTGGCGAAATAAATAAATAGCGAATGCAAACAAAATGGAACAACAAAAAAAAAAGCTGAACACAAAAAGGGAGAAAGGAACATACCATTCTCAAAGTAAAACAATCAAAATTTGCGCACCATTAAATTTTGTATGGTACTCGTTCCACCAGAGTTTTCCCCGTTCTCTCTTGATTTTTCGCAATTTTCTCATTTTCCAGCACTCCATACATACTCCTCACATGTTTGTTTGTGCTCCAAATTGACTTTCTGCACAATGTTCAAAGCTTTGATATCCGTGATTCGATTTTTTCCCAGTCAATCGCCGGATTTTCTCCTCTTTTTTTGGCTAAAACTTCTGGCATTCTTTGTAAATATTTTGTGACACTTATCTATTTGCAAAAGCGATCAAAGCGCAGAGACAGCGAAATGTCAGCTAAATTTTAGCACAAATGGGATTTGATTTATGACTTTGTTTTCGCAAATCCAGCTTTAGTCGTAGCGATACAGATCGCAACTCATCGACACAGCGGATTAAATGTGGTTTATGTTATTTTTAAATCACTCTTAAATCTAATTAAATTTGCCATGAACGATAAACAAATGATATTATTTGCTATTTGCTTATTTGATTTAGCTGCGGTCCGGCGCAGTCATAAATTAGCATTCGTTATATATTAATTAGTATGCCTTTAAATACGCACATTTTTAAATTATGTGAAATTTCTAGGTGATTTAATATGCAATGATAAATGTGGGAAAGCAAACATTTATTTAGCCGAATGGTTAGTCATTGGGTTTTTTAATTTGTTTTTACTTTTTTAATAAGATAAAAATGCCAAGTTGTACTTTATTTAATTAGAAATTTCTAGGTGATAAAAAATCCAATGATAAATGTGGAAAAATAAACATTTATTCAGCAGAATTGTCGGACATTGAGGTTTTTAATCTACACAAAAGTGGCAAAGCTGTACTTGATTTAATTAGTTAGAAAAGTGGTAGAAAATTAGGTAAACTAAACAAATAACCTTGTTGAAGTGTATGACATTTAAATTAATAAAATAAGTATATTTTACTAACTACCAACCTACTTCAAGGAGAATATCTAGTTCAAGTGTCATTAATTTGTCTGGTCAGCCACCCAGAACGTATACAATGTATCATAGTGCTAACCTTATACTATAATTTGTAGAAGCAACTTAAATATTTAGCTTTCGGTAACCCAGGAACTCCACTTAACTTTCATCTCTCAAGTGGGCAAGGCAACCTGGCCGAAAGTTACATAGGTAACCTGGGTGAGGTACATAGTTGCCGAGTGGCAACTGGCCCAGGTGTGACATTCTGCAGCTGCCAGGACATGCTTCGAGCCCATTAAAACTAATTACTCATAATCATTTTGGCTACTGCTCGACTGCCTCCGGGAACCCCATCCCCATCCCAATCCACATACCCATACCCATTCCCGTTCCATGACTCTTGCCGAGCGACAGTCACAGCTGCCACATACACATTGAAATTAATTAAAATTAAAATGGGAGTGGATGTGCGATGTGCAAATGGAAATGGAGGTCTGCGAAACGAACTCAAGTCTTGGCTGATCCCCATGAAAACGACTCAACCGCAGATGATGGGGAAATTAGTGGCAGGCGAAAGAGCAATGGAGACGAGTCAAAAGTACAAAGTCAAGTGCGCGGCGGCCTCCGATGAAAAATCTCTGCGAAATTAATTAAATTCTGTAATTTAAGGCACTCCCCGTGGGCATTGCCGACTCCTGCGGCTCCAGGTTACGTATGTGTTGTACATATGTGGGATGCTTTT